CATGCGGCGATGGATTCCGAGTGTCCTACGCAAGGGAGCTACTTCTTTGGTGATTTCTTGGGGAGGACTTCTCAATTTGTCAGCACCTTTGCAAAGTTCAACACACTTGATGGTAACTGTGGGATAAAGTTGTTGGATTTCTGTAAGAACAGGACCGTCGAAGAAAAATCGCTTTCCTACACTGGGAGCATGTTTGGAAATGGTATCAATAGCCTTCTGAACATACAAATCATGTTGGACCTGCTGGTATGTGGCATCAGGTGGTTGCTTGATACCCAGTTTCCGGCGCTTAGCGGGAACATCTGTCACCTCATCAGTGGAACGCGTGACAAGAGCATTCTCTGTAGGTTGGCAATTTGCTTCAGAGACCTGTGCACTGCATTGCATGCTACGAACCATTTTGTTGGCAAAAACCCTGGTGTAAAGTTCGGTGTATTGGGAAACATTAACCCTACCCAACTGTGGTACAAAGCATGATCCCTCAACATGGTCATGAACATGATCCCGGGTACAGCGAAGGTTCGTCACCTGTCGATACATCACTTCGGAAGTGGTGAGGATTTGGGTCCCCTTTTGCAGGTGATTCTGCGTTTGAGGATGCTTCAAGCGTCCTGCAGTGCACATGTCACATCGGCTTATCCACGACTGATCCACGACTGCTGCAAGCTCTTCTTGGTAGAGCATTTGGGATCCTACCGGCTGCTCAAGGTGTGCATGGCATAAGCGTGACCGACACGTCTGAAATTGGAACAAGGCATCACAAAGAAGCAAGTGAACCTGGTCTTCTTGCCGAGCTGTCATGATGCGATTGGCAAGTTCTTGTGTTTTGTGTCGGTTAAACTCATTCCATCGACACCAGGCTTTGCATCTGGGAGACATCCAGATATTTCGCGGTCGAAGCTGCAGCAAACGGTCATACAACCTATGTCGACCCTCCCACGTACTTAGATCTCCATCATTTAAGCCATGTCGCTCAGCCCATAACCCCTTTTGATTGGCTTGTTCAGTCAAAGCACTATTTTGGCTACAATACACTTCTAAGAGATCAGCACGGCATTGTTGAAGCATAGGTGAGTTGGGAAAAATTCCCTTTTTGGCAAAATACCTCCACATTTCAAGAGCAACCCAATTGGTGTCTCGGCTATACAAGATGTTTTCCCCTACATCGTTATCCCCAACTCGATACTCCACATCGTTAGGCTTAGTATGAAAAATGTTGTGCCATGTTTCACACATGTCCGCCATGATCATGGGAGGGACCGGATGTTCAGGAGTCAGGTGCTCCTTCAGGCTGTCGGATTCGGACTGGTGCGCTTCAGATGCTCGAGGACTTCCTGGATGACAATCTCCATCTGGCCCATGCGGCTTCGCATCTCTGCCATCTCCAGATTGTTCTCGGCAGGCAGTTGAGCCCACACATCGTCGTCTGAGTCCAGTTCGATCGGAGCGCTCCCCGTCATGGGCGGGTACTTGGCTTTGGCCTTTGGCATGATGGATTTCGCCGTAGGCTCGACTTTCTCTTGGTCGCCCAGCCATAGTTGAATGAAGCGTAGGAACTTCACATGCACTGGCTTGCGACTGTGTTGATAGTTCTCGGTGAACCACGCCATGTACTTGGTCTCGGTGGTCATGTCGAGGAAGCGCTTGCCAATGTGAGCCCTTCCAAACTCGATCTTCTCGTCTTGGAGCTCCTTCAACGTCATTGCCATGATGGAGGGAATCAGGTTTGGATCCTCGGACTCCTTGATGCTCAGTCGCTTCAGGCGAGCGGTCAGATCGCCAAAGTCCAGTTCTGTCGGAGTCTGGGCCATGATGCGCCGGGCTGACACTGACAGGAAAACCGATGGGTGTCTTACTGAGCCTAGATTGCAGCTGATTCTCAGCCGGTGTCACGACATGCGAATCTGTACACGGTGGTGATTTCTGGCAAACTGCAACATGGTTTTCCTCAGACCGACAGAACCTGACCTGTGTCTTCACTCAACATCACATCGGCACCCTGATGGCTGCATGGATTTTTCAGGAGATCAAGCAAATCGATCTGAAACAGTTTCCGCTCTGAAAGTTTCATGGGAAGACGGATGCCAATTTCTTGAAACAACACTTCCCCTTTGGCAGTATCAATCACCGCTCTCAAGTTTCGGAAAACACTGTTGGCAATCAAAAAGGGCGTGTTGGTCGGAACAATTACCACTTTAATCCATTTGCTGCCTACTGGAAAATAAATGGCACGTGTTCCATTGACTGTGCTGATGTTCCCAAATCGGAAGCTGACTTGGCATGGAGCTTCCTTCATGGCATGCAGAACAGCTGATGGTAGAGATTTGCAAAGCTCTTTGAACTGATTTTCTCCAATCACAGACATGCTTGCACCTAAATCCACTATGCCATGAGTTCCATGCGACGCAAAATGCGCAAGTTCCTCAGAATGGTCATCTGAGTTGGACTGAACTCTCCGGTCACATTCTTTGCCCGGGGGGTTGTGCTGGCACTGGATGGGCTCATTCGTTGTGCTCCTGACGATGGCTTGGAAACGTTGGGACAACCTGGACTTAAGCATGGACGGCAAAGACAGACGACTGGACTGGCTTACCCCATTATAGTCCCCTCTATTATCCCATTTATCCCCATTATTGGCGTTCATGTGCATGTTAGGTGAGTACAAACGGTGGCTGATCATGTAACATGTCTCCTCTGTCATGTAGGCAGTTGCATTTCCGGGGGGCATGTCATCATCATCTGACAAACTCTGAACCTCATGAGGAATCTCGGATGCCATGGCCACTCCGGCAAAGGCTGCATTGCCGGAAGGAGGCGCGGATGCATTGGCGTTCTTCAGGCGGACAGGGCATTCTGCACGCCAGTGGCCAGTCTGATTGCAATACCGGCATGTTGATTCTAAGATTCTCTGAGCCAGAGGTTTCCTAAACTTCTGTTTGAATCCACCCTTGTTCTTGCCACGTCCTTTTCCTTTGGACCCTTTTGGAACCCAAAACCCACGGCCTTTCACTTTTTCGGAGATCTTGCGACGAGCCTCAAGGTATGTATTGAGGCAAGTGGCGATCTCGGGATCACTTTGCAGCGTGTCGATGAGGCTTTCCTCGAATTGGTTGATCACTTGAGCATCAGGATCGCCCTCAGCCAGCAAAATCTCCAAAGCCGAGTCCTCCGTGGTCTCCTGAGAGAAGAAAATGGGCTCCTCCGTCTCTTCATGGTCATGTTCATCTTCATCCACGTAGTTCACATCATAGGTTTTGGTGCGGGTATTGGTCCGGCTGGCAGCTCCGGACTGAACTTCTGCAAAAAACTTCGACCCCAGCAGCTGCAACGCTGAAGTTACTTTGTCGTATTCCAGATTTCCCCCGCTGTCTATGATGATTTTCTTCTTGTCCTCTGGAGACAATCCAGAGTTTCTGATGAGAATATATGCTCTCATCTCTTCCAGACCGGCACCCATGTTGATAAGCTCCTCATACTGTACCTCATGTCGGGCTAGATAGCTCTTGTGGGTCTCGTCTGGTTTTTGCACTGTACCAAAAATGGCTTTCTCGAATCGCTCATATTTCGTTTCCAGTTTGGACTGCCCCCAGACACCTCCAAGTGTCTTCACAACCAGCTTGATACCTTCTGTGCTTTGCACCTTCAGCTTCGTCGCATCCAAGCGTACCACCTTGGAAAAAGCAGTTCCTTCGCACAAGAGGCATGCTCGGGGAGCAAGCAAGGCCAGTTGATCTTGGGGCCATATGTTTGCCAGAAACTCAAGACGGCGAGTGTATTCATTCACATCTGTTTCACCAGGTTTGAACGGTGGGATCAAATGCCAAGGTAGATGGGAGTTCCCTGGCGGTTGTCCCGTTGACTGTCCACTGCCATCGGACATCCTGGATCACCTCACTTTCGCTACGTCTCCTGTGAGATGTCAGTAGCGGTGAGCCGTAGCTCCGCTACCAATGTTGGATTGGTAGCGATCTTCAACAACCACAAGCTGTAGGTCTGCCCAAGACCAAATGAACTCAAAGAAAATGGATGAGGCCGCCTGGCCTAATGTTGAAACTCGTATGAAAGGACCTCCTGATCCAAATGGTTGGTCAGCGACACAGACCTTTTCTCCAAGTGCCACAACCCCCAGGGCATTCGAGCCTAGTTCGGGAATCGCAGCGGAAAGTGTTACCTTGACCCTTCCACTGGACATTGCACATGTTGCAAATCACATATAATATATATATATACCCTTAGCTTCTAAACCCTTAAAACATGTCGGGTTTAACTATAAACCTCGGGTTTTCCCACCACTTGTACTAAAACCCCGGGTTTTAACCCAAAACCTCGGGTTTCCCTGAAAATGTCCGAATCCGGCCACCAGGTAGGGATTGAATGCCCTGGATCTTGGCTTGAAAAGGATCAAGTGGTCGCAACATGGATGGAAAGACAAAAATATCTAAGTGAATAGTACATAAATTTCCTACAAAGCAATTGCTTAAACCCCTTGGTTGGATTGTTGAACCACCATGAACTGGGTATGCCAATGGATCCAATTTTGATGGGACTATCAAATCAATCGCTCTTTCTTATGCCAGGTAAGGATAAAATAATTGGCTATGTGGCCCCCTTAGGTGAATTTTGATAGCCACCAAAGATGTCATGCTAGGCCACTAGGCTTTTCACCAGGGAGAAAATAGACGTCACACACATGCTCCCTGCCACCCTTTGCCGCTATGGTTTTCCGCCGGCTTGGGCGAAATGTCTGGCTCCCAGCTCCTGGAAACAGTGGAAGATGGAAAGCAGATTTCACTGCGTGGTGGGTTACTGGATGGAACTAGGCCTTGCTAGGCTTGATGCGTGCAATTTTCTGTTCAACAACGTCTAAGTCCTTTCAAGTAAATGTGAGAAAGAATTAGGGTATCAGCCGTTATTTTTTCACATTACGTGCCCAACAGGTTTGATCACAATGTATGTCGCCCATGCCTTAAAGCTGTTTAGGCTCAGCTTCAAGGATTGGCATGGGCAACATGGCCCGCAACATGGCCCGCAACATGGCCCAACCCAAGACGAACGTAGAAGGCATTGCCAAGGAGTGGGATGACAACAATGAGCTACGAGATAGGCTCAGAGAGGGGGGAACTGTCTTGACGGCCAATCCCTCTGCCCAAGATATCTCCACGTGTACCAGGAACAGAGGAATCCTGGACCCTTTGCTTGCCAGAATGTCTGTGGATCCAAAGCGAACAGTTCCGAACATCGACCAGTTAAAAGATGAAATTGAGGACCTCTTGAAAAGGAGTAAACATGCTTTGGATGAAGGTGGTGTTGACATTCCCAAGACATCTTGGGCCATCCGCAAGTTATGTGGATTCATAAAAGCGAAAGCCCGGCGCCGAGAGGTTTCAACAGTTCCTGGTTTGCATCATATTTTTTCGGCTGTTGTTCGATATATGTATGTGGCTGGTGCCAATCACAATGGTTTGCATTATTAAATATGGGGAGCTCTTGTCCGATTCTCAGGTAAAATCATTCCAACAGATGGTGCTGCTGTTGGACCCCATGTTGCAGGCAAGCTTTGGCGGTTCACATGTTCCCTTCCGATATATATGGGTGTGTTGGTTTCCAACTTCAATACAATGCATGTCCCTGCCACGCATCCTCGCCAACTTTTTCAGGAAGAAGTGGACCGGGTCAACGAGAGGGTGAAGCAGAGGCTCAGAAAAAAGGGTCGCAAGGACTGGGAAGTTCCTCTGCATGGGCAACACTGAAACTCACTGAGGAACACACTGTTCACTTTTTAGTCACAACGGGATTATGTTACAAACATGTATGGTTTGATCCTTCCTTGGGACTTGTTTTTCAGGATTCAGTCGATGATGATGAAGATGCTTGGGACGATTCCGAGGATGAGGAGTCAAGTAGCTCTAGTGGTGACAATACAGAAGACATGGGGAGTACTGAAGATCCCGACCCTGCAGCCGAAACAGAGAAGAAAGAATAGAAGAAAGAAGAGAAGAAAAACGACAAGCCGAAGGATCCAATCCTGGTCCCAAAAGCGGCCTCACCCGTGGAACCGTGCCCAGGAAAAGACGCAGCCAAGACTGCAGGTCCCAGCCAGCCCAAGGTTGAGAAGGTCGCTGCAGCAGAGACGGTGTCAAGTTCTAGCCTTACACTCATAACCCACTACCTTTCCTTGATCGAAATCAAAAAAAAGAACTACATGTCCTGATGTGGATCATTTTCTGATTTCAAAAGCAAAGGGCTCATGCCATGGCATGTCCAGCGATGGGTTTCATTACAAGGTTCTCAAGCTGATCTCCTACAAAAGCGTCAAGAGGTGATGCGGAAGTTGGAAGAGTTTCCTGGTATGCTCAAAATACATTTCCAAAAAATGTTTTCACACAACTTTGCCCAAGGCTTCCATCTTAATGGATTGGTTGTATAACTACCCTGGCTCCTTTTTCTGCCCAAGGCTACGCAAGAAAAAGGACATGGATCTTAAGCCCAGACCTCCTGCAACTCCCCAGCAAGCAGGAGACCGTGTCCTGAGTGTCCTCTGTAATTTCAATAATGTAGCACTGTAGTTTTTTTCAACAAGTGACATTACAAGTTTAAGAGCCTTTACAAGACTGAATGTTTTGAGCCACAACTTTCTGACTGTTGCGAAGGAGTTGAGAAGAAACCTAAGCCCTCCATCCCTGCAGACAACTTGGAGACCCAGCCAGTTGATGTTACAGTGCTCACACCTCCACTGGAGCCTGCTGTTCCTCTGGAGAACTCACCTGAGAGAACTGTATCCCAAAAACGTGATGCATACCAAAAGGTTTACAGGGATGATGAAGGTAGAACCCTCGAGTTGGGAAAGTCAGGGCCAGGATCTGTGCCAGGGAAGGCCATGGTCACCAATGGCACTCCCAAGGAAACGGAGGAGAAGTTCACTGATGAGGCTGGGTGGGCTCAGGGATGTTCAGGTCTGCATGGAGTACAACATGACTTAACAAGGGTGCTTACTTCTGAAATATTTCACACGTTCTGTTTGTTTCATGTTCTGCCTTCAATTTGGGGCATGCAGGAGTGTGAAGAACATGTGTCAAGGCGAGATCAGCTAAGTTTGGCTCCGCGAGGACGGGGCAGAGGTCGTGGGAGGGGAAGAGGAGCTCCAGCGAAAGAAGGTGGGGCAGGTGAGAACAGGAAGGAGAGTAGAAAACGCAAGAAGACAAAGGAAGCTGAGACAGTAGAGTATGAGGAGTTCTGGACGGAAGACATGTGTCAAGAATGGCAAAAATGGATTTATGAAGGGTGCTGGTACAACGAACATCAAGAGGATTCTGAAAAAATGAATGTCCATGATGAGGCGTCCAAAAACTTTGATAGGTATGCGCACTTGGCTGGCAAGGCAGCCATGCACCACCTAGGAGCACATGCAGCCAGCAAAACTAGCAGTGCAAAGAAGGATGCAGACAAGAACAGCAACTCGAACAAGGACGAAGACAACATGGCAGGCAAGAAAGTGAAAAAGGTCAAGGGAAAACATGATGACCAGGCAGAGGAGAAATCGAAAAAGCGAAAATCTGAAACTGAAGCGCTGCCAGAGCCATCTGAGAAACATGTTTGCCCAACTACTGAAAAGGACCAAGTTAAGGCAATCACGAAGTATTTGAAAGCTATCCAGAAAATGGACATCGAAAACCCCCAGAACCCCACGGATGGAGAAAAAAAACCTTCGGGAAGGGTTGCTCCCCCCTAACTTGGAAGAGGTGCGTCAAGGGGGCATGTACTGGAAGAGGCCTGCATTTGGTGTGTACCACAAAGGGCAGAAACGTGACATTGCCTACTTCCAGCTTGATGAAAGTGATGGTGATTGTCTACTTCGTCTTGGAGCATGTTTGAAAGCCTCCACCTTGATGGTAACTTGAAACAATGTGGGCTATACTGTATATTTCTGTTCACGGTGAGATGCGCTTGAATGTTTATGTTCAGTGCTGTTGGGTTGCCTTTTTTCAATGTTGATAGTCTCCCCGTGTCCCATCATAGCCGCGCTCAGGCAATCTACGTTGAGGAGATGTCGAAAGCGCCCCGGGACTCCAAGGATGTCATTTCTGATGACCCAGGTTTCATTTCAATGAAGGATTCTCTGAGGAAAGCTGCCGCACTCGCTGTGAGCCGGATGTCCGGCTAGTCAAAAAACATTTTGGCTTGCACATGCCTACCGGGTATGGTGCTACATATTTTAGGGTATATACGGCTTAAGTTGTGAACAACTTGGCAAAGTAGGGGCGGCCACACTACCTCCAATGGTGTGTGCGTGTGTGTGTTGAACACAGGACAGCCATCCTTTGAACTCTGGGCCCAGGGGGAAGTTTCAATACATCGTGTTGGTGACCTTGTGTGTGTGATTGATGTTTTTCAGCTGTCGTATGTTTCTTTCACATTGGCTCGTTGGCCCAGCCCAAGGGATTGTCCTTCAATCCAAGGACCTAGCGTGACACAATCCTAGTATGTCCTTTGCCTTCTCAGACATAGCCCAGCTAGTGAAGAGGCTGCGGTGGCAAAACATTGTCAGTGAATCCAATTTAAATGAACACACAGTTTCTCTGTACCATTTTGGGTTTCCCTTCAAAGCTATTCGACAACATTTTTTCAAACTGCTGGTTCGTGAAGCAGCCTTAAGAGCAGCTGAAGGTTTGGAGGCATGAGCACGTGCAAACACGGGATTGCCAGTTGAAAAGCGCATGGTTGCAGTTTGAGATTCGCTGCCTCGATGTTTTAGCATTTAAGAATTGAATATAATAATTGATATAAAATATAATATATAATATTATATAATCATTTACAACCTTGCCACTAGCCGTGGCATCCAGACCCGCCCACAGCGCAATCCGTCCTGAGGCCACAAAGGCATCAGATGCAACGAGAAGGTGCAACCTTTGGCGGGTCAGGGAAACCATGAAGAAAACCAAAGGCGCTTTCGGCATGTCTTATTTCCAAATCCCAGAGTTGAGAATGTACAGTGGGGAAAGCCTTCAAACTTTCAATATAATTCACATCAAAAGAAACCAATCACACCTAAGAGAGATCATGTTGAATTACGCAGTCCAACTTGAAGAAACTTCCTTACATTATCTTACAATACGCATGGCTCGAAGTAGATCTCACGAGGGATAGAAATTAACACAACAACAAACGACCCCACAGTTTGAAGAGTAATTATGTGACCATGCCACATTTCGATTCCATATGTTTCTATGAAAAATCCACCCCTCGTGATTTTTCACTGGTCATCTTGATCTTGGGCACCGGGACCCCAACCCTGGGCTTGCGCCATGATGAACCTGGACGCGCTGGTGTGGATGCTTCGGGAGCTCCATTGCCCGAAGGACAGCAGTCAGCTTGAGGGATTGAAAGTTCATAGGTAAACAGCATTTGTCTCTCAAACCATTTGATGTCTATATTGTCGATTTTAGCATTGTCATCAAAGTTGTTCACGTCTGACAGTTGTTGCCTTACTTCAAAAAAATGGTTGCTGATTGAACTGCGATGGGTGAATGGGTTCAACACATTGCAGGACTTCGTCTTTTGCATCTTGCTGCTCTACTGGAGCTACGCCATGTGCGAGGACATGTGGTTGGAGCTTCAAATTGGTCCCCCACATTTGTTGGGGATTGTGAATCTAAAACTGCTGGGGTAGAGGTAGATATAATGTTTTAACGTACAGTCAGTTATGATATATAAGGAACCAGTTTGATATATTGCAATAGGTATTAGGGATGAATAGGTCCCCAAACATGATCTGTGGGGACCTATCATTTTACATCATTTTACAAAGCCTTTCTTTTAACACTGGCCTCCCATTCGATATGAAATATGCTCACTTGGAAAAAACTATCCAACTGCCAGGGTTCAATGATCCAGGAGTTTGAGCAATATGAGTTCTTTGCTGGGGTGGGCAACATCACCAAAGTTGCCAAGGCATCTGGGTACCGGGCTCTGCGATTCGATTTGATTGACAACCAGCAGCCTGCAAGCCGTAAGAGCAATTTCATGGATCTGAGTTCGGCTTCCGGGTATGCGTTGCTTGCCCCATGGTGATTCCTAGATTTTGAGGGTGGGGAGTGTATGTGATAAGACAACCGTATCCCTTCAATGGTTGGGTATCCAATATATTTCACGATTTGGGATGTTGGATTGGGAAATACATCATCGCCTAGGTTGGCCATGCTATGCCTTTTGCGAGCGAAACTAAAGGACTTTGTAGCTCACTTTGGCCTTAAATGCTCCAGCTTGTGCCAAATGAACTGTGGCACCAGCATGCGAGCGCCATGCTGCAGCTTGGGGTTTGACAAGTACCCGGGCGTGTTCTTAAGCAATGTTTTAAGTGACAGGACCAGGGCCAGAAACATGAGTGATAATTCATTACACCTAGGCTGTTACAGGTTTGGTTTCTGCAGCCCTGTGAAACTTTTTGGATTCAAAGGACATCAATCCTTTGGTTTCTATTTTTCGAAAAGCAGTAAACAATATACTCTTTCCGGGAATGTGTTGGTAAATGGCAGGATGTGCGCCCTCCTCCTCCTGACGACATGCCTAGGGGGTGCCTGGACGGTTGAACAGCCCTTGGGTTCGGTGTTGGAATTCTACACAACATTCCGGAGAGTTGTGAAATCCATCTATGACGCTGCTGGCCCTTTCGCAGTGTCTGCATTTCCTATTCAGTGGTATGTTTGTTCCCTTGTTCCCTAGGTCCTTTACAATGTATGCTTAATTTTGGGGTTCCCCAATCAGCAAATATACCTTTGGCTCTAACAACAGTATTGCCCCAAAATCTCAGCCCAGGTAGTGAAAGTCAAGTGGTGGATGATCCACTACTCTGCAAAAACACCGAAGCGACATTATGGTTACTCTAATTCTGCTGTGGCATTGGAGTTTGACAAGGGTAAGCTGACTCAGTCTGATCGAAAACCCAAGTCTGAGAGAATCAGAACGGCAGATGCTTACTATGACAAAAAGGGTGTCAAGAGGTACAAGGGCAATTCCAACCTACGAAGCACTGAGTTTCTTGAATGTGATGAATTGCAAGTTTGGTTTCCGATGGTCATAGAAAATGTTGATGTAGCATCCCCACTACTATGATAGTAAAATAATATCTAGCTATTTTGAATGAGTTGCCAATACAGACCGTGTAGTCATCATTGGGTCCCTTCCCTGTGCTCACACTGCATCAGGATATACCCCATGCCCTTCGCCAGAGCCTTCGTGGACAAGCTGGAGCGTCTCAAGCAGTCAGCCCAGGGGATGCCTCAGCTACCGGAGGTGGTTCCAAGTGCTGTGGAATGTCTCCAAAATTGGGGCCCTGATCATGGACATAGTGATGTGTGGCAGTATGCAGATTTTGCATCAGTGTTTAATTATTTGCGGGGAAGCCGCAAGTTAAAAATTCTTCGCCATGTTGAAAAGACCTTCGCCAATGATGATCTGGAGAAAGAGTTATTACAACAACTTCAGGACTTGAATCCATGCAATGTGTTTGAACTTGTGAAGCTTTGGGTGCTTTGCATCAACCTAGTGACATGGATATAAATTAGTATTCCTATACCCCGAAATATGTGGTTCCTTGGCAGGACATCGACGAAAAGCTCGACCGTGAGAGTGATGTCAGGGGCCCAATTTCCTTTTTTCCAGCCACAAGTCCCACATCCTCCAACACTTAGTGACTTGATGGCCTCGATCCAAAGGTTGGGAAGGACGTCGCAGACATGGACACCTTGCCAGTCTGATGCCCAGACATGTGAAATCTTTTGAAGGGGTGTTATCTGTCTTCAAAATATAGTTTGATCATCAGGGGATTTCAAAGGATATCACACATATTTGTCTTACGATAAATCTGAAAATCATATATACATATATATATCATATATATCTTTATATACAGTCATTGCAAACTTACTGGGGTAGGATATGTGTTTGGAACAACATCCTGCCGGCCAAGGCCACTGAAGATGAACTTTGCAAAGCAGGGAAGCCCATGGAGAAAGGTTGTGACCCTTGGACTTTGCGATCCCATAGGAAACAAACTTCATAATCAATTGCGTTACCGCTACTTTGGATTTTGTTCTCCAAGTATATCCTTCACCCTCTCTTCGTGGCTTAGGACGCCTCCACTGAGCTTCCTACAACCCTCGTAGTTGGAACACCTGTGCCGGAAACGCCGCCACAAGTGAATGGCACCGAGACACCCAAAGCCGCCAGCACAGATGCCGGTCAGTCACCAAAGGCTTACATACCCAAGGGCATGACACTGCGTCAGGCATGGTGATCAAACGTATATAAAAATCAGGTGTTCTTATATCCTCCTGTGTGTCTACAAGCCTTTTAGGGATGTTCATCTCAAATATATTATTCCATAATAATGGATATTGTTTACACTATTTTTCATCCAGCCTTCAACATCGACCCCCTGAAGTTCAACCTGCGCCGCGCTGCAAAAGCCCGGATCCACAGGATGATCCAGCCTAAGAGCAAGCGTCGAGAGCTTTTGGCCCCTGACTATGTAGCCAAAGAATGGCAGAATGGGGATAAGAATGGCATGGCGGACTTACTTGTGTCAGTCAATTGGTCAAAGGACCCTTGTTCCGTTCAAATTTGATGATTCTAAAGTATGATATTACTGAAGAGGTTATATCTATTGGTTAGATCTTTGCGGAGTCCACTCGAACATGTCATAGCAGGAGTCTTTCTTCAGCGAGCTTTTGATCATCATCAAACGCAAGAAGACGTACCAGCTTGTGATCGATGAAGGGTGGTATTCAGAGAGTGAACTCAAAGAGTTGGGATGGAGTCAGCACGGTTCCTAGTTTTTGAATTCAAATGCCGCAATGGTTTGCAATCTAGTTCACTTCAACAACTCGTAGTTTTTTATGTTCTGAGTCTTGCACCAGGAAGAAAATCAATGGTGCCAAAGAACGATGCCTGGCTTTGGGCGAGAGCCATGCCAGGCAGATCTTCAAATTTGCAGATCTTCAAACGTATCTAAATTGGGTTTGCTAAATCTGTATGGTTTCAACTGCTGGGTCTAGTCACATTCATTTGGCAACTAGAAACCTCGAAAGCCAACTTGCTTGTGCCACTTTGCAGGAGAAACTCGTATGATGGGGAGCTCGAGTTCTGGGTTGTGACGAAGGAAACGGGAAAACGAACTGAAGAGAGCTCGTATGAAGAAGAACACAAGAAGCGACAGAAGGCTTGTCATTATGATATGTTATGATCTATGCTTTAGAGGAATGTATGTACCTTAAAGCAACTATCTTCGCAAGCTGCACACAGTGAAAGTACCACAGTTACTACAGCCAATTTGCTACCCCAACTCTTCCAACATCAACGCGTCTTTGCTAGGTTGATGACATTCCTGAGTCAGACCTGGGCAAAGACTTTGCCCACTTGGAAGCCCGAGTTCAGCGTGACCAGCTTGAGAAGGACAAGAAAGCCCAACTTCCACAGCTCAGCAAGTACCAAGAGGACTTGGAAAGGGACTTTGCTACCAGGGTTTGTTTTGAAACAGTGTTAACCGATTTTACCCAAATCTGTTTATTATTAACAGTCTTTTCCAATTCATGTCTTACCCCTGTAAGACGAAAGATAAGCTTCAGCGATTCTTGCAGAGCATGACTTCCAAGAGCGGAAAGCTTCGAGCCCTTGTCCGTGATTTGAAAAAGGGTTATTCAACTGCTTCTATTTCCCCGTCACCTGGTTACAACAAGTACTGGATGTTACAATTTACAAGTGTAAAATTCCTTGGAAGTTTTTCAATTCATACTGTGCCTGGGTCCCATGGTTCATGTTATCTGCCCCACATCACTGCCAGCTTGGGCCCAGGTGCGTGAAGAGCCTCGAAGACCAAATCTTGGCAGTGGATACCCAGTATGACCTTCGCCATGAAGCTTGGGGCAAAGGGGAGGTCGACAAATTTGCGTCCGATGAGTTCCCTGGACCGCAACATGTATACAATAACTTTGCCACACACACACATCCATAAAACCTATATATTATATATGTGCTTAATTTATTTTGCATTTTCCATGTAGCTCTCATCACTTAAGGTGGTACAAGAAGGCTGAGGCGGCTATGGACAAGGCAACCCTTGTGTTCCCTACTCAGTCTTTGGCCAAAAACTGTGATAAAAAACAAGCAAACATTCAATCATTATTCCTAAGTTTTGAGGAATCAAGTGGGGTGGCCCCAGGTGTTCAAAGGCTGCAGCCGAAGAGAACAAGATCAGGACAATAATTACGGTTTCTCTTAGTGACTTTTTTGGTCTCAGCCGGATATACCCCTCCCACTCATTAGATTAGATAATCCAACCATAAGTTCCAAAGACCTGCTAGCGCAGGAACGCGAAGAAGTATTTTGACAAGAAGGACACCGACGAAGTGGATGAGACTCCGCCGCCTAAGTTGCCTAAGGGTGAGCGCAAGGAGCGCAAGGAGACCCAGAAGGAACCGAAGTCCAAAAAGGACAAGAAACACAAGAGTAAGAAGTAGATTCCAAGTTTTCTTTTGTTCAGGTATCCCACGAAGTGTTGTGCACACTTAGCGGCTTTGCAATTTCAATAGTCAAGCTACACATGATGTTGGATTCCCTATATGACCCATTCTGTGAAAATATGATGAACTATAACTATAACCATACATTTCGTAATGGAAGTGTTGTTGGTTGCAAAGCTCAGTGTGAGAAACGCACGGTGCCATATGGCAGATGGGGCTGCCTGGCCTAGCTGTGATGTTTTTATCATAGCATTGGCTCTTCAATCCAGTCTCTTTCGAATCTCAAGACATGTTCAAGATATGTTGCGCCAACATGGGCTTCAAAAATGAGCGTGCCAGTTCCCTGCTCGACACTCATTTGGTCACTGCTCCTTATTTCGATGATTCGCGCCAAAAAAACAATTACAAATATATATGATGAGAATAGTTCCCAATCGACCCAGTCACCAGCATCAACACGCCAGGTGTCAGGCCTGGCAGAACTATGATGGCAATGAGTGCTTCCATTGGCGAAGGGGCCATGGCCTCAGCATTTTGGGATCTGGCAAATTTGTCCCAATTTTGTTTCTCTTGCGTGTCAACCTTTGGCATCAAACCGGACAAATCACACACCGATGATTAGGCCCAAATAAAACCATCCGTGTGCATATGAGTTCCGAACAAAATCATGGCGAAAGTGCAGAAGAAGAACTCTTTGATTTACTGACATGTCACCGATCTGAACCTTGAACTTTCAAAATGAAAACTTTTGGGGTTTCTTTCCTCCAATGTTTTGGGGATGGTTTGTATGCGGTGTTTGCATGCGCGTTCCCACAAACCTGAGGATAATGAAGCACCCTTTCCATGGAAAAGATCACAAAGATCACATGAGAGCCCAGCTACAAGCAGTGACACTCAACATTTTCATAGTGGGGGGATGGTTACCACAGAGGCGCCACTGGACTCCAACCAGAAGATGCGAAAAAAAACACATAGTATGACTGAGAAACAGCTCGATGCGTCACCCCGGTTGAATGCCCTTTCAACTCAGTGCCAGACTCATGGACCAATCCGCTTTGAACTTTGCCACCTCACGGCTTCGGCCGGCGCTGGCGCTGTTCTCCGACACTGCATCCAACTTCTGGAATGTCTATTCAAAAAAGAGGAACCGCTCACTTTTAAAATTGGCTTCACACAACCCTGTATGGAGATGGTCTAACAGCATCTACGGCTACTGCAATTCTAAAGACAAGTGGGCTGAGATGATCATCATGTATTACTCCAGGGAGCCCTATAGCGCAGCAATGTTAGAGGCAGCGCTCATTGAAAAGTATAACGGCAACTAACTTGCATCATATGTTTTTTTTCCGTTTTTCACCTCTCTAACTTACAGGTCCCATTTTTTGCAATCTTTAGAAAATCATATTTACAAAAATACAAGTTGCCTCAGCCAACGCCGGCTAAGGCAGACGTGGATGTAAAAATGAGAAGCCCGGCGGCGACACAGTAAACACAAACAGCTCAAGCAAAGATGATCGCTACATGACCTATGTTGTATATAGATCGTATAAAAATCCGCCACCCCACCAAAAGTTGTGCGCGTCTCACCCTGGCTGATGGACAACCATGTTTCCAGCCTATACACATTGTCACACTGAAGCAGGGCGGGCTTACTTGAAAATGATTTCTTGGGCCAAAAGAATCGGGTACGAAGCTGATTTTTCCGTCCAGTCATTTCAAGATCATTGAGCACTTCACAGGTTTGCAGGTTATTCCGTTGACAGCGACACTTTTCATCATTCTTCTTCCAGTCCCAGCTAATCTACCACTCACACACTTCTGCTGGTCTTGATTTTTGGTTTTGCTGAGGCCTCATGTGCTTCAGCCGTCAAGTTGGCCAAACACATTGTCGCTGACGTTGGTGAGGCCGCAGCTCTGAAATCAGGAGGACGGGTGGACCTTTCAAGACGGGCGCCACAAAATGGAGAAAGAGATTGTGAGCGATTGATGTCCAAACGGTTTGGGTTGACCATGCCAATCAAAGCTTGTTCTCTGAAGGGTGAAGATGCGCAGACATCCATACCGTTTCTGAAATTCAGGGATTGGCTGGGTCTTTTGTTGGAACACAATTGTTTGCATATTTTTTGCGGGCTGCTAAAACCAGACCGCGAAAGAGAGTGTGCTATTTTGGAACACTTCTGGCGGTGCTTCGAAGTTCAGAACCCTCAGCACCCTATCTTCCAGAAGGCAAGGAGTGGAGAGTGTTCTCTTGGGCGCACAGTGCCCTTGCTTCTGCACGGTGACGAAAGACGATCAAAAAAACGATCTGCATTTTTGATCCTGAACTTGCACAGTCCCTTAGGACGGGGGGTGGATCCTCAGTTGCAATCTGGGCAGAGGCGAAGAAAGTATCTCAAGTTGGAGCCCAACTTCAAAGGCCACAGTTACACCAACCGTTTCTTGGTGTCTGCTGTTCCCAAGGCATCAGGTCCGAACGAGTCCAATTTCTCAATGCTTTTAGATGCTGTGGCAGAAGAACTTCTCCATGTGTCCACTGTTGGGGTGGAGAGTCGATCGCAAACATGGCATGCATGCTGCATTGGCATAGTTGGTGACTGGCCATGGCTAGCCAAGTGTGGATTGGATAGAAGCGTCATGAACGTGGAGAAACACAAAGAAAATGCACGTGGGGTATGCAAAGGGATTTGCCATTTGTGCCAAGCCGGCCAGCCTGGAACCCCATACGAGCAGATTGCTTCAAAGACTCCGCTTTGGCAAAATACAATGCTGGCGCAGCCACCATTTTCCCGGCCTAGCCCTTTTCAAGGCATTCCTCATGTTGAAGGTGAGCTGCCATCCCTTTTTCATTTTGATCTGTTCCATTGCTGGCACCTGGGCATGGCCAGGAACTACTTGGGATCAATGTTGGCCCTATTGTCGCAGCTGGAACCTGGATCCAATGTCGACCTGAGGTTTGAGCAGCTATCGAAGAAATATTTGGGCTGGTGTCGTCAACACCATCGACAGGCCCATTGCCAGCGGATCACGAAGGAACACTTGGGATGGTTGAGCACATCATACTATCCAACAGGTGGCTGGCACAAAGGCGATTTGTCAACCAGCCTTATGCTGTGGGTGGAGGCCAGATTTCACACTGAGGATTGGAGCCATGATAGCGCTTTGCAACTGGCAGGGGAAGCTGCCGAGGCCATCAACTGTTTCATCTCCAAACTTTACCATGGTGGTGCGTTTTTGTCACCCAGTGAAGCCAAGGAAGCTGGTGAATTTGGAATGCGGTTTCTTCGTAGGTACAATTCTCTTGCGGTTCAAGCCCACCGCAATGGCCAGCGCTTTTGGCTAATCATGCCAAAAGCACACGCGATGCATCACTTGATCTTGGGGTTGCTAAACAACTCCCAAACGGGGTTGTGTCTTAATCCTCTCTGCACATCAGTGCAGCAGGATGAGGACTACATTGGTCGAGGTAGTAGGTTATCCCGTCACGTAAGTTCGGTGACTTGTGCTGAGAGAGTGGTTTCAAGACATTTGCAAAGTGTCTACAACAAATTTGTAGAATGCGGGTATTTGATTAGAGCTAAGGGGGCGGCGCATTAGCGTATGCTTCACAAAAAATGACATTTGTTATTTTTTGCCATTTCCCTTCATTGCAATATATACTTTGTTGTTAGTTGCTGCTACCCCTGAGCTCATGGCTTTGGCAAATTTGGCCAGCGCTTCTCCAAGTTGAACCAGGTGTTGCATCAGCAGGGGTGGCGGTGCAACTGGAGAAACACGGGAAAATCATGAAAAATCAAAACCTCGGGTTTCTGCTGAAAACCCCGGGTTTTCGCTCAGACCCTACGTTTTTCTCGGGTATGGAAGGTCAAGGTATATATATATATGATATATATATATATGATATATATATATGATATATATATATGATATTTATTTTTATATAATCTATAAAATCATATATACATATTAAATATATATCATATGTCTATATATATATATCATACTTATATATATATACATATATATATATATATCATATATATATATATATCATACATATCGCAAAGACATGACAGACATGACAATCACAGTTGGTTGAAAATGTCAACAGTCGATGTGAGTCTTGAGTTGGCCATGGCCAATTAATTATGTTGGATAGTTTAAGGCTCAGTGAACTGTGGATACTTTGGTTCTTATTTCATCTTATTTCTGGAAACTCGCGAGATGTAAAATCGCTTGTCGCGCTTGGCTTACAGGAGTTCTGTCATTGCTTTCTGGGATTTGGATGGATTTGGTTCCAGAAACTGACTCGACGTTTCAGTGGCTACGCCAATTAATTGGCAACTTCAAGTCTGTAGACATGGGATAGGCTCAACATTTTGACTGTTTAAGATAACGTTCAGAAATGAGCGGAATGTGGAGCCCCAACAAATTCCCCAAAAATTGGTTTCCATGCTCAAAGTCTCAAAGTGACTGACTAGCCGTTCGAACGCCATGGCCTCCCAAGAACCATGCAGATGTAAGAAGGCAAGAACCATGGGCATTTGGAGGAACAACTGCTACACATTCCAATATCCACTGTAGTTTTTGGTTTTATTTTTTTGCGGGTGGAGTCTCTGGAAATCGGGGTGCGTCTTTAAAACTGCAGAGCATGCAGGTGGAACGTCCTGACCAATCGGTTTGAGATGGTTTGACCAAACATGGGGGACATGGTGATTCCCAAATGCCTATTGAATAATTTGGGAAAGTGATGATTTACCATGATATTTGGGCAAATGTAAAACCATGATATGACCATTATGTAATATATATATACACATACGTTGAACATATCATAATATATCGTATATAACATATATTATATTCAAAACACACAGCTGTTAGATATTCAAAGGGGTACAAATCAATTTTGCCAGTTTTGAGCAAGATTGCAAATTTTTGCAAAATTTATTCGTTGCACGCGGCGACATTTGTCGCCAAACCCATGGGTAGAAAAAAAATGTGTGTTTTCTTAACCAAGGGTATTCATGTTTTGAACGAGTGCCACAAACACAAGAAAACGAGA